CTCAGTAGGTGCAGTACCAGAGGGAGGAGACGTACCAGCACCTGGAGCAGCAGACGCACTAGCACCTAGAGCAGCAGCCGCACTAGCACCTAGAGCAGCAGCCACAGTGCCCGGGTCGGGCGGGACACGCAGTTAACAGTCACCCTCAGTAATATCAGCAAGAGCATACATGGCAGCAAGGATAGCATCAAAGTCTAGATCAAAGATAGGCACATTCTGCAGAAGCATATCATGCCAACGAGGAAGCTCAACAGCGTCAGGAAACTGGGTACGCCAAGCGTCAGTCAGGCGACCGAAGCAGCGCTGCGTGGTGTGTGGGAGACCACACACCTCCCCACTACGAGTGCCTGTGCGAAGAACGTACGCGCAGGGACCTGCACCCCCAGACCTCCCACGCCCAGCGTACCACTCACGAAGCTGCTGAACAGACGGGGTCTCACGGGTGCGCAGCTGCTGCTGACGCTGGCCGCCACCAAGGCCTCCACGCTGCGTGGCTGCACCGCGACCAGCACCACCTCCTCCGCTACCTCCACCACCGCTGCCGCCGCCTCCACCGCCTCCGCCACCGCCTCCACGGCCTCTACCGCCGCCACCGACGCCCCCACCCCCGGGACCACCCCCACCACCACCTCCACCTCCTCCACCGCTTCCTCCACCGCCCCCTCCACCACCCTTGCTTCCCTTGCCCTTGCCAGTGCGGCGTCGCCCACTAGGGGCAGACGCAGCGCCGACCTCCTCAGTGCCAACGAGGTCGACAGCAGCAGCAGAGGCAACAGAGGGGAGAAGGGGGACAGGGGAACACCCCTCAAAGAAGGGGGTGCGACGGTCGCCGCGAGAAGCCCCAACAGCTAAGATACTCTTCTCAGCTGCAGCTAGGCGCTCCTCTAGCAAGTCGACAGTCAGCTCGGTAGGGCAAAGGGAGAGAAAGTGATCCCTGACTGAGGAGAGAGAGTCAGGGAGGCGGGTGACTAGGTAGTAAAGGGTGATGTACATGGGGGGGGAGTTCGTGGGAAGAAACTCAGTGGGAAGGGCAGCGCGGTAGCGAGCGTCACTAGTGCGGAGGTGAGCAACTAGGTCAGCAACTGTGGCAAAGGCGGCAAGGTCAGGAAAAAGGTACGGCAGCATGAGGCGGCTGAGGGCAGCAGTGGTAGGGGAGGAGTAGCGTGCAACTACAGCGTCGTACAGAGCCCTAGCACTCTTGTACTGACTAAAGTGCGCGCGCTCAGTAGACGGCAGGTGATTGCGCACAGCAAGACGAGCAGCAGCATCGCGTGTGAGCCACTGCGAGCGAACAGTACTGTCAGCATCAGCAGTAGGGGCAATAGAGGCGCCAGACGTGAGATCGAACAGTGAGAGACCATCCTTGCTATCGCTCTGTAGGAAAAGCTGCAGATCATCTAGCCAGACCTCAAAGTCAACAGCTCGACCCTCAGCATCAAAGGTAAGAACATTGAGACTAGCCATGACAGGAGAAGCAGCAGGCTAGCAGCAGCAGCAGTGCAACTCGGCTAAGCAGGCTAGGCAGGGCGGCGCAGCTCGGCAGGGCGGTGTGGCTCGGCAGCGTGGCGCTCTTACCAGCGGAGAGGCTGGGGCAGGGCCGGGGCAGGGCCGGGGCAGTTCAGGAGCAGGGCCGGGGCAGGGCCGGGGCAGGGCCGGGGCAGAGCCGGGGCAGGGCCGGGGCAGGGCCGGGGCAGAGCCGGGGCAGTTCAGGGGCAGGGCCGGGGCAGTTCAGGAGCAGGGCCGGGGCAGGGCCGGGGCAGTTCAGGAGCAGGGCCGGGGCAGGGCCGGGGCAGAGCCGGGGCAGGGCCGGGGCAGGGGGCAGGGCCGGGGCAGGGCCGAGGCAGAGCCGGGGCAGGGCCTGGGCAGGGGGCAGGGCCGGGGCAGGGCCGAGGCAGGATGCAGGGCCGGGGCAGGGGGCAGGGCAGGGGCAGGGCCGGGGCAGGGCCGGGGCAGGGCCGGGGCAGGATGCAGGGCCGGGGCAGGGTCGGGGCCGGGCCGCGGCAGTGCAGAGACAGGGTCGGGGCGAGGGCCGGGGCAGAGCTGCGACAGAGCCGCAGTTGGGCCGGCTGGGCCTGAAGGGGGCCTTTAACGGGGCCTGACGGGGCCGTGCGGAGCCTCTAACGGGGCCTGACCGGGCCGACGGGGCCTCTAACGGGGCCTGACGGGGCCTACGGGGCCTTAAACGGGGCCAAACGGGGCCTGACAGGGCCTCACGGGGCCTCTAACGGGGCCTGACGGGGCCGTACGGGGCCTCTAACGGGGCCTGACGGGGCCTTACGGGGCCTCTAACGGGGCCGGAAGGGGCCTTACGGGGCCTTAAACGGGGCCAAACGGGGCCTGACGGGGCCTTACGGGGCCTCTAACGGGGCCTGACGGGGCCGTACGGGGCCTCTAACGGGGCCTGACGGGGCCTTACGAGGCCTCTAACGGGGCCAAAAGGGGCCTTACGGGGCCTTAAACGGGGCCTTACGGGGCCTTACGGGGCATAACGGGGCCTTACGGGGCCTTACGTGGCGGGCGCTAGCTCTGAGGGCAGGCGCAGGGGCCGCGACGGGCCTCGAAGGGAAAGCGCGACGCGCGCGTCAAGTAGGCAGTAAAAAAATTTAGTGGTGGGCCCTTTTAAAAAATTCTCGAAACTAGCTCTATACCATGTGAGAAAGATAGACGAAAGAATGAATGAACTAGGAATGAGATGGGTACAAATAGAAAGCACATAAGTGTTGTACCCTCTAAGAGCTACCCCACTACAGCCTAAATAGACCATAGCAGATATAAGTTTGACAGAAGCGGCCGCCAGGTTCTCCGCCTGTCTTCAAGGCTCGGTACGTGGCTCGAGGCTTCAGTCAGCGAGAGGGAGTTGACTTCTTCCAGACCTTCTCCCCCACCCCGAAGATGACCACTCTTCGGGTGCTGCTGCACGTTGCCGCTCAGCGTGACTACGAGCTTCACTCTCTTGACTTCAGCACAGCCTTCTTACAGGGCAGCCTGCACGAGGAGATTTGGCTGCGCCGCCCTCCTGGCTTTACTGGGTCGTTCCCTCCTGGTACCCAGTGGAGCCTCCGGCGGCCGGTCTACGGTCTCCGCCAGGCGCCACGTGAGTGGCACGACACACAGAGGACGACACTTGCGGCTCTTGGGTTTGCTCCGTCGACTGCTGACCCGTCGCTGTTTTTGCGCACCGACACTTCGCTGCCGCCGTTCTACGTTCTCGTGTACGTCGACGACTTGGTCTTTGCCACTGCTGACACTGAGGCTCTCGCCCTGGTGAAGGCGGAGCTGCAGAAGAGACACACGTGCACAGACCTGGGTGAACTGCGCAGCTACCTTGGCTTGCAGATCACCCGGGACAGAGCACGCCGCACCATCACACTGACTCAGTCACACATGGTGCAGCAGGTCCTTCAGCGCTTCGGCTTCACCTGGTCCTCAGCACAGGCCACTCCTCTGGCTACAGGTCACTTGCTCTCAGCTCCACCTTCGGACGAGTCCGTAGAGCCGAGTGGTCCTTACCCAGAGTTAGTGGTCTGCCTCATGTACCTGATGACTTGCACTCGTCCTGACCTTGCGTACCCTCTTGGCCTTCTGGCTCACTACGTGGCTCCTGGTCAGCACTGAAAGGTGCACATGGATGCTGCCAAGAGGGTACTACGCTACTTGTGCAGTACATCGGGCATGGGGCTCGTGCTTGGAGGACGGGGTGACGTTGTCCTTCAGCCTTGGTTCTGGTTCAGTTTCCTGGCGTTCTACACGTTCGTCTTCAGTTCTCGGCTCCAGCTGTGAGGCAGAGATCTACGCCACAGCCATGGCTGCACAGGAGCTGCGCTGGCTTACCTACCTGCTGACCGACTTGGGAGAGCGGCCTCATTCTCCTCCAGTTCTGTACGTCGACAACAAGGCCGCCATTGCCTTGTGTCAGGAGCACAGGCTGGAGCACAGAACAAAGCACATCGCTCTCCGTTACTTTCTTGCTCGAGAGCTGCAGCAGCGTGGCCAGCTTCGTCTTACCTACGTGGCCACTCGGGCCAACACTGCTGATATATTCACCAAGGCGCTTCCGCCTGGTGATCATCAACGTTTCTGCACTTTGTTAGGCCTTGTGCCCACGCTTCCTCACTTGCTGTAGGCTTTGTTTGTACCATGGTTTATATGTATACCTGCATACTTGCTCTTGTAGGTAGATATCACTGTACTGTTGTTGTTCCATATATATCTCTGCATGTGAACTGGCCTTGTGGCCTTCTTGCTTGTGCTCAGACTGCGTGGTGACGTTGTGATCCACCCTGAGCTTGCTTTGCACTTCCTGCCTGGCCTTGTGACCCTCTGTTCTCCCCCACTTTGCCTATGGGGGTGTGTCAAACATATGTGTATATGTTGTTATTTAGATAGGCTTTAGTGGGGTACTCACTGTGGGGTACAACCCCTTAGGTTTCATTCTTGTACCAAACTCTCGACATTTTAATACAACTCTTTGCCTAGGATTCTAACACCCGCGTGCTGCCCTGCCCGTCGCCCGTCGCGGAGCCCTGGGGGGCCGCGTGTTGCCCCTGCCCGTCGCCAGTCGCGGCGCCCTGGGGGCCAGCACATCGCCCCCCCCCTCCCGTCGCCCGTCGCGGCGCCCTGGGGGGGCTGCGCGTCGCCCCTCCTGTCGCCCGTCGCGTTGCCCTGGGGGGCCGCGCGTCACCCCTCCTGACGCCCGTCGTGGTGCCCTCGGGGGCCCGCGCGCGGCCCCTGTCCCGTCGCCCGTCGTGGCGCCCTCAGGGGCTTGCGCGCGGCCCCCTCCTGACGCCCTTCGTGGCGCCCTTGGGGGCCCGCGCGCCCCCCACCCCTGTCGCTCGTCAAGGCGCCCTTGGGGGGCCCGCGCGCTACCCCTCCTGCAGCCCGTGAGCCGCCCCTGCTGCCCCAAATCGGCCCCTATGTCCCACTCCCGCTCCCGCCCTGTGCTGCCTGTGTTGAGGTTTGGGGGTGGCGAGTATGGGGGTGATGGGTTTGTGCGGCTTTCCCTACTCCTCCTCCTCCTCAGTCTCCCACTGCTGCAGCTGCCGCTGAGGGGGGTGGATGTGTGGGAGCTGTCGGAGTAGTACTAAGGGGGTGGCGTGTGAGCAGTGTTAGAGGTGCAGCAGGGGGTGTGTGAAAGGGGGGTGAGACAGTTAGAGGGAGGTTGGGCGGAGGCAGCCGTTGTGTCGCCAGCAGCGCCAGTAGTCCGGAGGATACAATCTCCGGTAGCCCAGCGAGCCTGCTGCGCTAGTCGCCAGTGGGTCCGTTGCTCCTGCCGCTCAGAGTTAGCCGCGGAGCCAGTTACTCCAGTAGTCCGGAGGCTACAATCTCCGGTAGCCACAGTGCGCGCCGCTCCTGTTGCCCGTGTTTCTGCAGCATCACCCATCGTCTCCTATCTCCACTCCTCTTATAGTCCCTCCTCCTCCTCACTTACCGTCTGTGACTGCCTCTAGCTTTGCTTATATTTGTGAACTATAAACTGCTGCTTCTTGTACTTGTGCACAGAATGTGTGGTGACGTCGTGATCCACCCTGAGCTTGTTTTGCTTTGCTTGTTGTGCTGATTACACCCCACTTTGGCTATGGGGGTGTGTCAAAATGTTATGTTTGTCTAGCCTGCAGTGGGGTACTCAATAGTGAGTACAGCCCAATCTAGGGTTTGCTATATGTACTCAACTGCCTGCTAGTGAAACCACTCTTCTCTGTTTCATTCATTCCTTCCAGATTCTAACACCATGGCCCCAGCGTAGATCTCAGCCTCACAACTGGAGCTGAGAACAGAAGACGAGCGGGTAGACCGCCAAGAGACAGAACCGGAGCCAAGGCTAAAGGTGTAACCCTGTGACAACCGCTGCGTAGCCAAGTCGTCAACCCAGGAGGCGTCTGCGTGACCAGTGAGGACAACTCGAGCCCGTCCTCCAAGCACAAGCCCCATGCCCGACGTACTGCACAAGTAGCGCAACACCCTCTTCGCAGCATCCCAGTGCACCTTTCGGTGCCTACCGGGAGCCACGTAGCGAGCCAGAAGGCTGAGAGGGTATGCGAGGTCAGGTCGTGTGCAAGTCATCAGGTACATGAGGCAGCCCACAAGCTCTGGATACGGGCCACTCGGCTCTACGGACTCGTCCGAAGGTGGAGCTGAGAGCGAGTGACCGGTAGGCAGAGGAGTGGACTGTGGCGAGGAGTACGTGAAGCCAAAGCGCTGAAGGACCTGCTGCACCATGTGTGACTGAGTCAAGGTAATGGTGCGCTGTGCTCTGTCCCGGGTGATCCGCAAGCCAGGATAGCTTGTCAGCTCACCCGGGTCTGTGCACGTGTGTCTCTTCTGCAGCTCAGACTTCACGTGGGCGAGTGCCACAGTGTCAGCAGTAGCAACGACCAAGTCGTCTACGTACACGAGAACGTAGAACGGCGGCAGAGTGGCGTCGGTGCGTAGAAACAGCGACGGGTCAGCAGTGGAAGGAGAAAAACCAAGAGCAGCAAGAGTCGTCCTCAGTGTGTCGTGCCACTCACGGGGTGCCTGGCGGAGACCGTAGACTGGCCGCCGGAGGCTCCACTGGGTACCAGCAGGAAACGACCCAGTGAAGCCAGGTGGGCGGCGCAGCCAGATCTCCTCGTGCAGGCTGCCCTGTAGGAAGGTTGTGCTGAAGTCAAGCGAGTGTAGCTCGTAGTCACGCTGAGCGGCAACGTGCAGCAGCACCCGAAGAGTGGTCATCTTCGGGGTAGGGGAGAAGGTCTGGAAGAAGTCAACTCCCTGTCGCTGACTGAAGCCTCGTGCAACGTAACGCACCTTGAAGACAGGCGGAGAACCCGGCGGCCGCTTCACCCTGAAAATCCACATGCCACTGACGATGTTCGCCCCAGGCGGGGGAACCTCGTCGACATAGGTGCCTGTGGACTTCCAGGAAGCCATCTCTGTGTCCATGGCTGTCTGCCATAGAGAGGAGTAGGGAGCTTCTATCGCCTCTGCGTAAGAGCGCGGGGTCGGGATGTCTGGTGCATCCGGGTCTCCCTCAGGGGCAAGCAGCATGGACACGAGATGGGGTACAGCAGCGGCAAAGCACTCAAACTCCTCCTGTCTGTCCTCAAGGACGTCCGTGAAAAGAGCACACTCACCCCTGACTGACGGAGGACAGACAGACGCAGACGCAGACTCAGCAACAAGACTAGTGGCAAAGTCTAGGCGACAGGCTGCAGCAAATTCAACAAGCTCAGCAACGAGAGCAGACGCAGCAGTGGACTCAAACAAAGGGTCAGTGACAGCAGTGGCCAGAAAGCGCGTGACAGTAGGACTAGCAGCACGAAGGGAGTCAGACTCCGGGTCCGGACCGTCAGGAAGAGAGGACGCAGGAGAAGACGGCAGAGGGACACGCTGTGGAGCAGTGGAAGGGCGCAATGTCATAGAGTGAGTGCCAGGGACAGGAGGAGGACGTGGACGCGAAACACGACGACCAGGGCGAACAGTGCAGACAGGCAACGCAGAACGAGACTCAGGCGACACAGGACGCGACTCAGGCTCACGACGCTCTGTAAGACCTCTAGTCGGTCCAGAGTAAGGAGAAGGACCAGGCAGTGGAGAGGTCGGCTGTAACTGCGACTTTGACTGGACAGGCGGTGGACTCAGTAAAGGAGGAGTAGGACCAGGTGAAGGCGGGAGACCAAGAACGTGCTGAAGGAGCGGAACGTAGTACGGGCGCGGCCGCGCAGCGCCTCCAGAAACAGCAGAGACAGCACCAGTACCCTCAGCTCCAGGGTCGCCAGCTACAACTCCCGCAGCACCACCAGCTCCAGTACCTCCAGCAGCTCCAGCTCCAGAAGCACCTCCAGTAGCAACAGCTCCAGCACCTGCAGCTCCAACTCCTGCAGCACCACCAGCCCCAACAGCTCCAGTACCTCCAGCACGAGCACCTCCAGGACCAGCTGCTCCAGCACCTCCAGCAACTCCAACACCAGCAGGACCTCCAACAGCACCAGTACCTCCAGAAGCACCTCCAGCAACTCCAGCACCAGCAGCACCTCAAGTAGCTCCAGAAGCACCTCCAGCAGCTCCAGCACCAGCAGCACCTCCAGCAGCTCCAGCAGCACCTCCAGCACCAGCAGCACCAGCAGCACCAGCAGCACCTCGACAGCGCCGAGCGTACCACTCACGAAGCTGCTGCGGAGAGAGGGGCTCCCGCCGCGACGGGACACCCGGAGGACCCCCAGACGCAGCACGCGCAGGCTCAGCACCCCCAGGCTCAGCACTCCCATACTCAGCACCCCCAGGCTCAGCACCCCCAGGCTCCACACACTCAGGCTCAGCACCACCAGGCTCCACACCCTCAGACACAGAAACCCCAGGCTCATCACCCCCAGTCCCCGCACCCGCAGGCTCAGCACCCCTACCAGCATCTGAGTCGACAGCTACCTCGACCAGCTCGGCAGGGTCTACCTGGGACACACCTGAGGGGGCAGGACCCTGAGGGGGGAGGGGGTCTACCGGAGGAGTACCTGGTGCTAGGAAGAGTGGCGGGGGGGGGGAGAGAGGCAGTGCGGTAGGGAAAGAGATGGTAGTAAGACACCGACTCGTCAAACGTGACGTCATGAGAGGACAAAACACGACGCGAGGTGGGGTGGTAGAACTGCCACCCGGGTGCGTCAGGGGGGAAGCCAAGGAAGACGCAGGGAACGTCACGGGAGGACAGCTTGTCCGCTGAAGTATCGCGGACAAAAGCTCGAGATCCCCAGACACGGAACGTGGATGCATCGCCAACCTTCCCCGTCCACCTCAGAGTAGGTGTGGTCTCCGGCAAGGAGACACGAGGCTGAAGGTTGATCTGATGCGCAGCGTACTGAGCTGCGAACGGCCACAGAAAATGGGGAGCAGCCGCATGGATCATGGACGTACGAGCGACGTCTATGACCATGCCAATGCGGCGCTCAGCAATCCCATTTTGCTGTGGGGAGGCCGGAAGCGTGAACGTCTAGCGGATGCCCTCCGTACGACAGAAGGCCCTCAGAAGGTCGGAGGAAAACTCACCACCTCTGTCTGAGTGCAGACGCAGAACAGGAAGGTGCGAGCCGAAACGCTCGCTGAGTTGGCGACGGGTACCGTGGATCCAGTCGATCAACACCTCAGTGACCTCACCCTTGCTGCGCAAGGGGAAGACTGTGGTGTAACGCGAGTAGTCGTCAACGACCAGCAGGAAGTAACGCTCGGTACCCTGTCCACTGACGCGGGCTGGGCCCCACACGTCCATGTGGAGAGTCTGCAGGGGAGCCTCTGTCGAAGGGAACTCGGAGGAGTGAGGAGCGGCGTGCTGCCGGCCCTCGACACACGGAACACAGGTAGGGGAATGCCCCGGAGGAAGGGGAGGGAGGGACCGGGGGAGACCCGAGACAAGGGTACGGGAGGCCATACCTCAAAGACGAGGCAGGGAGGGGTGACCAAGGCGGTGGTGCCAAAGGAGAGTCTCGTGCGACAGAGGACGACACGAGCAGGGGGCAGACCCTGGACTAGACCTAGACGCGGCAGTAAACACCTGACTAGACGCGGCTACCTGACCAGACGCAGTGACCGGAGGAGACGCAGTAGTCAGTGTGTACAGACTCGACCCAGGCCGACGGGTGAACGTGGCCAGGTGGCGGCCCGTCCGAGAGCAAGTGCAGTGGGTCACACGCTGACCTCCAGGGGTGAACTGGTCGACCCACGTGTCCTGGAGGTCAGCTCCACTCACCAGGTTCGTAGAGAACGAGGGGAGGTGGAGTCCCGACAGCAAGCCCGACGGGGCCGCAGGACACGGTAGAACCGTGGAAGAGTGCGCAAGGACTGGGCCCACAGAGGGGTCAGTAGCAGTGGCAGGCAGCAGCAAGGGCTGTAGCGGCAGCAGCAAGGGCTGTAGTGGCAGCAGCAAGGGCTGTAGCGGCAGCAGCAAGGGCTGTAGCGGGAGAAGCAAGGGCTGTAGCGGCATCAGCAAGGGCTGTAGCTGCACCAGAAGGGCTGTAGCTGCAGTAACAGGGGCTGGAGCGGCAGCAGCAGGGGCTGTAGCGGCAGCAGGAGGGGCGGTAGAGGCACTAGCAGGGGCTGTTGCGGCGGCAGTAGCTCAGGCGCAGCAGCAGGACCACTTGCAGCAGCAGTAGCAGCACTTAGCAGGAGAAGCAGAGCATGCAGCAGTGGCAGCAGCAGCAGAGCATGCAGCAGTGGTAGCAGCAGCAGCGCATGCAGCAGTGGCAGCAGCACGCTTAGCAGCAGCAGCGCGTAGCAGCAGCAGGAACACTTGGAGCAGCAGCGCGTTCAGCAGCAGCAGCCGCGCTCAGTTGCAGCAGCAGCGCTGAGCAGTAGCAGTGCATGCAGCAGTAGCAGGCAGCAACAAGGGATGTAGCGGCAGCAGCAGGGGCTGTAGCGGCAGAAGCAAGGGCTGTAGTTGCACCAGCAGGGCTGTAGCGGCAGCAGCAGGGGCTGTAGCAGCAGCAAGAAGGGTGGTAGAGGCACTAGCAAGGGCTGTTGCGGCGGCTGGCAGCAGCGGCTGTAACAGCAGTAGCCTCTACAGCAAGGCAAGGGCGGCAGCAGCAGCTGCTGAGTGGCAGCGAAGCCAGTGCAAGCAGCAGGGGCAGCGCAGGAGCGGCGCTGGTAAGGAGCAGGCAGCAGCGCAGCAGCGCAGGCAGGGCGCTTGCCGGCGGCGCAGTCAGGGCGCTTGCCGGCGGCGCAGGGCAGCGTGCGGGCAATGCAGGCCGCTCGCGCAGCATGCAGGCAGCGCGCTGGGCGGGGCGGGGCTAACGCGTGGGGCGGGGCAGCGTTAGCGCGCAAGGTAGGGCGATTCTAGCGGGTTCGTGAGGGGCGCGTCATGGGCAGAAAACGATCGCGCCCTAGGGGCAGGGCGATTCTAGCGGGTAGGCTAGGGGCGCTTCACGGGCAGAAAATGATCGCTCCCTAGGGGCGCACGATGGGCAGGAAGGAACTAACGGTGGGCCCTTCAATTTTTTCGGTCCTAGGCTAGGAACGTCCTAGCTCTTAATACCATGTTAGAATACTAAGGAAGAAGTGATGGCATTAGGGCGTGTTTCTTTTTCTATTTTTTTTGTTTTCCCGGACAATCCACTTGTATCGAAACGGACGGTCCCAACAGCGGGTACCGGACAGTCCGTTTCGAATTTTCGAAACTTCAGACTGTCCGAAGGCAAAAACGTCACTTTTCTCTACTTCAGAAACTACCGAAGTACTATGGCCTCGCTAGAGCTACTGTACCATCGTAACCCCAGTCACACACTCTCGCCAGTTTCGCTCACCCCATGGCGGCTCTTCTGTCTCTGGCAGATCTGGAGCAAGCGGGTGTTCAGTAGGGGGACTTGGACTAGAGGTGTTCGGGGTGGTGTTGGCCGGTTCAGAGTTGTCACCTGCGCCAGAGTGCTCCATTGCAAGCTGGTTGTGAGGGTTCAGCTCGGATTGCTGGGGGCTTCAGATCGTTCAATGTTCAGGTGCGCGTCGCGGGCCACAAATAAATTGACCATGCGGCTCGGTTTTTGTTTTTCGAGTAGTTCGCGCGCCAAACCAGTGTCAAAACTTTACATCCGTCTGTTTGCAATTCAAACTGCCAAAAGTTCAGAATGTGAACCGTTGCTTGAAGGGAAAAGTGATGCGACAGGTCGAACCGTTGGCGACGTCGCCAATACCTTCACGAAACAGTCACGACAAATGGCGAAACGGGTAACATGTTCGCAAATCGGACGGTCCACGGTTCGAACCGTCGGGAGCAAAAAGGACACTCGCCCTTAGGTCAAGGGGGTGATACAAGTAGAAGGTCGAGAGAAATGTTGTACCCCCTAGGGCTAAACCACTACAGCCTAGAGCAATATAAACATATAAGTTTTGACAGATAAGTTGATAATAGCAAAGAGATACAAATCTTTATATGATTACAATGGAATATGAAAGGTTTCACTAACTGTAACTGCTGTTGCGGTTCGATACAACGACGACTCGGGTAATTGCTCAATAGTGAGTCAGTTATGTGTCCTTGCTGTCGCGCTGCTTTTCGGGGAGTCAAATGTTAGAATCCTAGGCAAAGTTGTATTGCAATGTCGAGAGGTTTTGGTACAAGGATGAAACCTAAGGGGTTGTACCCCACAGTGAGTACCCCACTAAAGCCTATCTAAACACCAACATATACACATATGTTTGACACACCCCCATAGGCAAAGTGGGGGAGAACAGAGGGTCACAAGGCCAGGCAGGAAGTGCAAAGCAAGCTCAGGGTGGATCACAACGTCACCACGCAGTCTGAGCACAAGCAAGAAGGCCACAAGGCCAGTTCACATGCAGAGATATATATGTAACAATAACAGTACAGTGATATCTACCTACAAGAACAAGCATGCAGGAATACATATAAATCATGGTACAAACAAAGCCTACAGCAAGTGAGGAAGCGTGGGCACAAGGCCTAACAAAGTGCAGAAACGCTGATGATCACCAGGCGGAAGCGCCTTGGTGAATATATCAGCAGTGTTGGCCCGAGTGGCCACGTAGGTAAGACGAAGCTGGCCACGCTGCTGCAGCTCTCGAGCAAGAAAGTAACGGAGAGCGATGTGCTTTGTTCTGTGCTCCAGTCTGTGCTCCTGACACAAGGCAATGGCGGCCTTGTTGTCGACGTACAGAACTGGAGGAGAACAAGGCCGCTCTCCCAAGTCGGTCAGCAGGTAGGTGAGCCAGCGCAGCTCTTGTGCAGCCATGGCTGTGGCGTAGATCTCTGCCTCACAGCTGGAGCCGAGAACTGAAGACGAATGTGTAGAACACCGGGAAACTGAACCAGAACCAAGGCTGAAGGTGTAACCCTGTGAGGACCGCTGCGTAGCCTGGTCGTCAACCCAAGAGGCGTCCGAGTGACCAGTGAGGACAACGTCACCCCGTCCTCCAAGCACGAGCCCCATGCCCGATGTACTGCACAAGTAGCGTAGTACCCTCTTGGCAGCATCCATGTGCACCTTTCGGTGCCGACCAGGAGCCACGTAGCGAGCCAGGAGGCCAAGAGGGTACGCAAGGTCAGGACGAGTGCAAGTCATCAGGTACATGAGGCAGCCCACTAACTCTGGGTAAGGACCACTCGGCTCTACGGACTCGTCCGAAGGTGGAGCTGAGAGCGAGTGACCTGTAGCCAGAGGAGTGGCCTGTGCTGAGGACCAGGTGAAACCGAAGCGCTGAAGGACCTGCTGCACCATGTGTGACTGAGTCAGTGTGATGGTGCGGCGTGCTCTGTCCCGGGTGATCTGCAAGCCAAGGTAGCTGCGCAGTTCACCCAGGTCTGTGCACGTGTGTCTCTTCTGCAGCTCCGACTTCACCAGGGCGAGAGCCTCAGTGTCAGCAGTGGCAAAGACCAAGTCGTCGACGTACACGAGAACGTAGAACGGCGGCAGCGAAGTGTCGGTGCGCAAAAACAGCGACGGGTCAGCAGTCGACGGAGCAAACCCAAGAGCCGCAAGTGTCGTCCTCAGTGTGTCGTGCCACTCACGTGGCGCCTGGCGGAGACCGTAGACCGGCCGCCGGAGGCTCCACTGGGTACCAGGAGGGAACGACCCAGTGAAGCCAGGTGGGCGGCGCAGCCAAATCTCCTCGTGCAGGCTGCCCTCTAAGAAGGTTGTGCTGAAGTCAAGAGAGTGAAGCTCGTAGTCACGCTGAGCGGCAACGTGCAGCAGCACCCGAAGAGTGGTCATCTTCGGGGTGGGGGAGAAGGTCTGGAAGAAGTCAACTCCCTCTCGCTGACTGAAGCCTCGAGCCACGTACCGAGCCTTGAAGACAGGCGGAGAACCTGGCGGCCGCTTCACCCTGAAAATCCACATGCCACTGACAATGTTCGCCCCAGGAGGGGGAACCTCGTCGACGTAGGTGCCTGTGGACTTCCAGGATGCCATCTCTGCATCCATGGCTGTCTGCCACTGAGAGGAGTACTCACCCGCTATCGCCTCAGCGTACGAGCGCGGGGTCGGGATGTCTGGTGCATCCGGGTCTCCCTCAAGGGCAAGCAGCATGGATACGAGATGAGGCGCAGCGGCTGCAAGACACTCAAGGTCCTCTTGCCTGTCCTCAAGGACGTGCGTGCCAAGAGCACACTCACCCCCGACGGTCGGAGGACAGACAGACGCAGACTCAGCAACAAGACTGGCGGCGTAGTCTAGACGACAGTGAGCAGCAAAGGCAACAAGCTCAGTGACTAAGGCAGATGCAGCAGCAGACTCAAACGACGGGTCAGTGACAACAGTGGCAAGCAGACGCGTAACAGTAGAGTGCTCAGCACGAAACCGGTCAGACGCAGGGTCAGAAACGACAGACAGAGAGGACGCAGGGGGAGGCGGCAGAGGAACACGCGGCGAAGGAGAGGAAGGACGACGAACTACAAGGGGAGGGCCGGAGACAACCGGCTGGCTC